AAGGTGTTTGCCCAAAACAACACTGCTGATTCTGGGGGAAGTCAAGAAACGGAACCAGAGAACAAAATGTGAATGCAATTATTCGTAATCCTGTTGGAAATTACAGGGATGTTTATTATGAAAAACCTTTGAGCAAAGATTGGTTGTCTCAACAAGATGCCAGTAAAGGAAACTGATTCGGTAGGCTCTTAAGAGCTCAGACGCAGTCTTCTTCAAGGAAGATAGATATCAAAGCAAAGAAAAGAACTAACACAGATGGGTTTATTTAGCAGCTTCAAGTGCAGAAGCTCCAGAGATAATCTCGATAAGCTCGGTCGTGATAGAAGCTTGACGACTCCTGTTGTATGTGAGGGTGAGACGGTCAAGCATTTCTCCTGCGTTTCTGCTTGAGCTGTCCATGGCAGATATTCTTGCTCCCATCTCACTACACGCATTCTCCAGCACCGCATTGAACATTACCTAAATAGGGTTTGATGTAAACACAAAATATCAACCCTTATGTTTCTTTCAACGTTGACACACCATAGAAATCAGTTCGCTATGTTCTTGGTTTACTTACACAAGAGAACTGGAACTCCGACAGATTCTGCAGTATCTCTCCCCTTTGTTTCACCACCTTCAATCTCGTATGAGTCGAGCTCACCAAGTCTTCCTCCAACTTCAGATTCCTTCTCAATAATCTTTCAATGCAAAAAGAAACACACATGAAACAATAAGTTTATATAGTTCAAGCAGAATGTGATATACTATGCACAGAGATTGGTTCTGAAAAGTTTAAGCTTTATGACTTACCTCTGGTGACAAAACAGTGGACACAGTAGGTAAAAATGCGACAACTGAATGGAACTTGTTGTAGACAATGCGCAAAGCATCAAATTCAACGTTTTTCAGGATGTCGTCAGCCAGAACTGAGACCTGAAGCAACAAGCAACCACAGCAAACATTAAAGACAACAATACATAGCTCGAGAACAAATGAACTCGGGAGAGCTCCTAACTATTAGCAAATATATTGAATGGATTCTTGTTCAGCTCTGTTACCGAGAGGACGATGTCATTCTTTGAGTCTCGAAACATTATAGCCTTTGCTTTCTCTCCAACAACAACAAATTGAACTTCCTTTTCAGGACCTGCAACAATATAAGGATTAAGATCAGATAGGGTAAATTAAGGAAAACCAAATCATGGAGCCATCAATAGTGGTTTCAAAACATACCAGAATTCAACTTGTACAGAGCCCTGCTCACTTTAACAGCAGTGGAGTTGATTCCACCACAGAGACCCTTGTCAGAAGAGAGAGTGACCACAACACTCTTCTTTACATCAATGCCTGTTTTTCCCACCAAATAACGCTATAAATCAGAAACACATCCAAAAAGAACAATACAGATAGCAAGAATATGGACATATAAGAATAGAGTAGGAGCAAAAGCTTGTTCGTCATCATCAATAAGAAAGCAAGAATATGGAATTTGCAAGTAGTAATTTTGTAAGGGGTCAACCTGAGCTTTTGAGCAACATGCGTGGCAAGGTTCATGCGTGCATTCGGAAGATGTATCGTGGAGCGGAGATCAAGGACGCTAAAGACAAAGCAAACAAAACAGCCGATGCCTTTCAACACTTAGAATTTGATCATTTCTACATGCTTGCTTTTGGCGTCTCATCTTTCTTGTTACATTTGCTTATGTTACATTTGTAACATTCTCAGCCTACTGGTTTTATCCTGCTAAGAAACAGAGTTGTATATGACTACACAAAACTCAACATTATTAATTATTTTACAAAAATACATAAGAAAAAGATAGGGAACATGCTTCAATTACAAGACCAGCAGCAACTACTTGACAAACATTCAAAGTTCAAACAGAGAACCAAACAAAGCAACAACCTTACAAGACACTCAAAGATCATACACAAAACCGAAACAACCCTAACGGTTTCTGCGCTTATTCAGACCAATTATCTTGACGAGCCACTCCGGCTTGTATGAAGCAATGACTTGTGCTATGACCAATCCAAGCAACACTCCAGGCCCATACCCTATTGCCACTCCTTTCCAGTTCAACACTTGTTCGTCCTCTTCTTCCTCAGGCGGTTGTGTTGGTGGCCCATTAGTCCCGAAGCAACTTTCCTCGAGAGGAAGACCACAAAGCCCTGCATTCCCTTCGAATGACGATTTAGGTTGCCCTGCAATCTGTGTTCCTTGTGGTATTTCACCCTTGAGTTGGTTGTGAGACACATTTATGTACTCCAAGAACGAGAGTGTCTTGAGTCCAGTAGGAATAGTCCCTGAGAGTTGGTTTCTTGACATGTCTAGTGACTGGAGGTTTGTAAGATTGGCCAAAGACAGAGGAATATGGCCTGTGAAGGCATTGTTCGATAAGTTGAGCGCAATCAATCCCTTCAAGAGACCAATGGATTCAGGAATCTGTCCTTCAATTCTGTTTCCAGAAAAATCAATGGCTGCAAAGAAAGTTAGGACCTGTGATTGCTCCATGTATAGACCTTTGTATTGTAAATCTATAAGGTCTTTTCTACTACAAGAAACTTGGTCTGTGTATCTCATATATATACTCCCATCTTCATTCATCTGGTCTGAAGATGCTTTCCAATTCACAAAGTAACTTGGTGACAAGCTTCCAGTAAAGTTGTTATCTGATATTTCAAATATGCGCAGCTCGGGAAACGCAAGGGGACCTTGATGAGAAGGAGAGATAGAACCATAGAATTTGTTTGAACGGAGGATAAGGACTTTCAAATTCGGCAAAGCCTTGAGCCAGAAAGGAAATGTGTTTTCGATTCTATTGTGCTCAACACTTAAAAAATCTAGAGAAGAACAATTAACAAGAGACTTTGGAAGCTTCCCAGTTAGTTGATTGTAGCCAACGTCAAGTAAGCGGGCTGTGAAACCGGCATAGAACATGTCCGGGAGACTCCCTTCGAAATTGTTCTTCCGGAGATTCACTAACATCAAGTTACTCAAACATTGAGGAATTGGACCGGTGAAATTGTTGTAGGATAGATCAAGACCCATGAGAGAGTTGCGGTTGCAGGTTGAGAGAGGTATGTGTCCCGAGAAACTATTTAACCTGGCAGAGAAGGTGATGATAGATAGTGGTAGATTAGGAAGTGCTCCTTCAAAACTGTTGAGTCCCAAATCCAGTAGCTGCACCGACGAATTTACTAAAGCTTCAGCGGAACTTTCAAAACCATTAAGAAAATTGTTAAACAGACCCACTGTGGTCAAGAAAGGAAGCTTCCATAACCAAGCAGGGACTTTTCCATTAATTCGATTCCTGGAAAGTCTTAAATACGAGAGCTTGGTTAGATTCTGTACAAGTGGGAAATTACCAGTGAGCTCGTTATCGCCAAGGTTCAAGTGGGTTAGCTGGCTTAGGTTACTAAATGAGGAAGGAATTTGACCTTGGAAGCCGTTAGAGGGAAGTAATAAAACCTCTAACCTGTTGAGATTGCCAAATCCGGAAGGGAGTGAAGAGGAGGTGAAATCGTTGTAAGAGAGATTGAGGTAACGAAGATGATCCAAACGGAAGAGGCTACTGTTGGACTTGAGAGTTCCTCTAAGGCAGGCCCTGAGTCGTAGCATCGTGACCGCACCCGTCGAGTTATCACACCAGCTCCATTGAAGGAGTCACTGTGATTGCAACTCCGGGTATCAAACTCGTTCTTGAACTCCGTAAATGCTTGAATCTGGTGGGGACGACAAGCAACAGTATTTTTAAAAGAGAAGGGTGTACGGATGAAAAATGAAGAGGAGACAGAACAGAGTAAGAGCAGCAAGAGAAAATGCAAAGGTAGACGTAAATCCGACATTAGGGTCGTCATAAAAACTTTTAAGTATGCAAAATATTCTTAAAGCAAAGAGATTGGTGTAAAGGTGGTTAGGCAATGAAGCTGCTGGAACTTCTCTTATAGTTATAGATAGGGATCTTCATTAAGTCTTGCTCTCTTGGATCTAGCGTATACTAAAACAAGTACTGTAGTTACGGAAAAGTCTTCCCAGCGTAGGATCATCAAGTGAAATTCACGTTATTTTTCTAACGTATAACTTGGATTGGGATATAAAAATCAGTTAGTAATTTCCCACGTACGTTCAAAGATAGAGAAATAAACTTACAATAACGAGAGATATATTGGATACGTTTGTGGATTGGACGAAGATAACGTGACAAAGTTTGCTGGAGAACTGGCAAAGGGATCGCGTTAGGGTTTAGCTAACAAAAGATCATTGAACGGAGTATATTATTGTAGGGTGTTTATGTAAGGTGTTTTCCCAAAACAACATGGGGAAGCGAATCTGTATATCAATCAGAGAACAAAATGCGAATGCGATTATTCGTAATCCTGTTGGAAATTACAGGGATGTTTATTATAAAAACCTTGGAGAAAAGATTGGTTGTCTCAACAAGAAGCCAGTAAAGGAAACTGATTCGGTAGGCTCTTAAGAGCTTAGACGCAGTCTTCTTCAAGGAAGATAGATATCAAAGCAAAGAAAAGAACTAACACAGATGGGCTTATTTAGCGGCTTCAAGTGCAGAAGCTCCAGAGATAATCTCGATAAGTTCTGTTGTGATAGAAGCTTGACGAGTCCTGTTGTATGTGAGGGTGAGACGGTCAAGCATTTCTCCTGCGTTTCTGCTTGAGCTGTCCATGGCAGACATTCTTGCTCCCATCTCACTACACGCGTTCTCCAGCACCGCATTGAACATTACCTAATTAGGGTTTGATGTAAGCACCAATATTAATCCTTATGTTTCTTTCAATGTTGACACACCATAAAAATCAATTTGCTATGTTCATGGTTTACTTACACAAGAGAATTGGAACTCGGCCAGATTCTGCAGTATCTCTCCCTTTGTTTCACCACCTTCAATCTCGTATGAGTCGAGCTCACCGAGTTTTCCTCCAACTTCAGATTCCTTCTCAATAATCTTTCAATGCAAAAAGAAACACACATAAAACAATAACTTTACATAGTTCAAGCAGAATGTGATATACTAAGCACATAGGTTAGTCCTGAGAAGTTTAAGCTTTATGACTTACCTCTGGTGACAAAACAGTGGACACAGTAGGTAAAAATGCGACAACTGAATGGAACTTGTTGTAGACAATGCGCAAAGCATCAAATTCAACGTTTTTCAGGATGTCGTCAGCCAGAACTGAGACCTGAAGCAACAAGTAACCACAGCAAACATTAAAGACAACAATACATAGCTCAAGAAAAAATGAACCGGGGAGAGCAGGTAATGCTCCTAACTATTAGCAAATATAACCTACCTGGGCGTAATTGAGTGGATTCTTATTCAGCTCTGTTACCGAAAGGACGATATCATTCTTTGAGTCTCGAAACATTATAGCCTTTGCTTTCTCTCCAACAACAACAAATTGAACTTCCTTTTCAGGACCTGCAACAATATAAGGATTAAGATCAGATAGGGTAAATTAAGGAAAACCAAATCATGGAGCCATCAATAGTGGTTTCAAAACATACCAGAATTCAACTTGTACAGAGCCCTGCTCACTTTAACAGCAGTGGAGTTGATTCCACCACAGAGACCCTTGTCAGAAGAGAGAGTGACCACAACACTCTTCTTTACATCAATGCCTGTTTTTCCCACCAAATAACGCTATAAATCAGAAACACATCCAAAAAGAACAATACAGATAGCAAGAATATGGACATATAAGAATAGAGTAGGAGCAAAAGCTTGTTCGTCATCATCAATAAGAAAGCATGTCATGGATGATCATCTAGACTAGTATAAACTGATAAAAAAAAACTATTATTTATTGCCAACCATACTGGGATTATCTCCTAGAAGTGCAGTAAATGGCTGCCAAAGTCCACGGGAATTCTCAGCTCTGCCTTGAACTGCTCTGAGCTTTGAAGCAGCAACCATCTTCATGGCCTTTGTGATCTTTTGGATGTTCTTTACACTCTTCATGCGGTTACGCACTGCACAGAGAATGCATGTAAAGCAATTCATGGAAATTAGAACATCTTCGACTCTTAGAAACACAATCCCAACTACCCAAAAATAATTTCCAATTATCAGCTGAGACTTACCCACTTGAGTTGAGATAGATCGAATTCCAAGAAGTCCCTCCTCCCTACAAAACAAATGCAGGTTAGTCCTCCTCCTCATCAAATATTTCATCTAATCAAGCACACAACGACACCCAAAACAAGATTAAATTGGAACAATACTGGCAAATCAAACGCCAAAAATGAACAATTTATTTTTATAATGGGTTGAAGCATAATGATTCTGACACGCTTAGGAAACATACACAATGTCATTATCATCAAGTTTCTGCTACAATGCGATACAAAAAAAGCGAATCAAAAGAAAACGAGCTTTAGTCAGACGTTTCTGAGTCTCAAAACTC